ATGAACTCTACAACACATATAACAAGCTGAAGTTTGACATAATTAAAGATTTTTTTTTCGAATGTTATCCTAAGCGTTATGCTTGCGAGAGCGAAATGCTAATAATAAATTAGCTCAAGAAATTAATAACAAAACGCAGAGGGGACAGTTTGCACTTCTAATAATAAAATAGAGGCGGATGCCAAAGAAGAAAGGGTCTTGCCAGAAGTTAGTGCATCGTGCAGCAAAAGTGTCAGAGTAGCTGACACGGTGAAAATGTATAAAGATGCCATGCAAGAATTCGTTTGTCCCCCAGCAGGTCCACATTTTGCCAAAATGTGGGAAAAAGTAGTGATGGTCGCTGCCGAAAAAACGTTAGAACAAGAAAACACATGTTTGAAGCAGCAGTACGCAGAAAACAGTTATCACATCAAGCTAATGCAGGAAGTAGATATTTGCCTGCAGAGCTCGTATGAAGATGCAACAGAAGATAATGCAGGAGAAGATTGTGGCGATGAAAGCGAAATCGATGATGATGAAGAAGGCGAGGAAGTCCACGAGGTCGATGCAAATATAATGAAATCACTGACCCTGTGCTTAACGGCGGATGTAATATACGAGCACACAACACTCAATCTACTGGAACAAATGTACTGAATAAATCTCCAGACAAGGAAGTTCAAAACCGAGGCAACGTTGAGCAGCATTCAGTAAAATCTACATCCAAAACAGCAGCAAATTTAAATAAATCAGAGACAAGCAAACCTGATGCAAAGTCTAGTATCAAACATTCTGGTACCAGTACAACGCGTATCGATCACACAACGGGTAATAACACCATTGATACAGTTAAATGGCAAACTCCTAGGCCCCCGGCAAGCCCACCTTTTGGCAAAATGTGGGATAAACATCACAAACGGCCAAAAATGCAAGGCGAGTTTCCTGAGATTTGGCGTAAGAGGAAGAAATTAACACGTCGAAGGTGGAGGAACTCCTGGGGTAAATTGGATTGGATTTCCTGCCCACAACAAATTTTAAATAAATGTTTTGAAGGTAAAAATAAATATTAATATGAAAAAACATTAACACTTTTTATCCCTTGGCAGTATGTTCAAATATCTTTGAACATGGATACATATCTGCCTGAGTAATAACATTAAATATAAATTTTATATAAAATATGTATACAGTACATAAATAATCACTTTTTTGCCCTCGGCAATATGTTCAAACATCTTTGAACATGTATGCATACATACATACATCTGCCAGAGTAATAAAACTGATCATAGAAAAATATACGTACAATAATACTTATTGACACACAGAAAATACAGTCCACTTTAGAATAGAAGATAAGTAAAATACATAAACATGAGAAATGAACAAAAACCCATAAATTGTAACACATTTAACTGTCAATATTTTGTACACAACCGAAATGAGATATCAATGCGTTGATCTCTTTTAATCTAATGTTCGCGCATACAAATGCATACACCCATACATGCATTAGAAAATGCATTGATATTATTTGCATGTATACATATAGCCGACGCAAATGCAAGCATTAAAATTAAAATTATGATAAGACCAAAGCGGTTGTTTGTAAATAGTGCATACCAAAACAACATGTACATACACACACACATACATATGTATTTACAATTAGTTAAGGAAAATAGAATTAGAATTTGTATATAAAAGGAGAATATTTAATAAATAGATCAGAATCGTAAAGACTCTCAATTAACACTCTTCTTCTCCGCTTCTCTTTTTATTATTTTACCTTCCTTTTATTAGCTCGGGATGTAACTATGTAATATTGATGCGCCTAAAAGATGCAGCGATTTCTATTCTCAAGTTACATACCTGATGACAGTACGAATGGCAATTATAATAGGGAGGTTTTAGTTTTTTAAACTATAATTTTATATCTTTTAATTTTATTTTGTATGCTTTACTTCCCCCCACCAGCGGTAAGGGGTAAAGCATTTAACAATTTTTATTCTTCTTTGTTAAATCGTTAAGCGTTTTGAACGACCTTAAATAACGTGGTATGCAAGGATGCTCCCAATAATTTTGGATTAATAAAAAGGAAATGCGCAACACAAAATACGGTAGGTGATAAATTTTTATTAGCGTTTTCCTCGTGTAGGAATTGACAAATCGAAATGAAAAGCGAACGAACAAGCAAAGGCAATAGAATAAAAATCAGCAGTAAGTAATCGGTGCTGCCAGATTATCAACATCCTCCGCCCGGTGAATGCTTCAGCCTTCAAACACATTATCTGAAATCGGCAGGAGGCATAGTTTCGTCAGCGCCCTTTTGTAGGTTCCCTGGGCGGTTTTTAAAAGCGCGACTCTAACTACACCGTCGTCACCAGGGATCGTTTCCAAGACTCTCGCCAAGGGCCACTTCAATGGGGGTTGATTTTCGTCCTTAATTAGGACCATAGCCCCAACGCGCAGATTCGGCGAGGAGCCATGCCACTTATGGCGTTGCTGAAGGAGAGTCAAATACTCCGTCTGCCATTTCTTCCAAAATTGCTGCTGCATGTAGCACACTCTCTGCCATCGATTAAGGCGACCAATGTTTAAAGTAGTAACGTCGGGTTCTGCGATAGAAGTAAACTGTTCACCAATCAAGAAATGGGCTGGAGTCAGCACTTCGAGATCATCAGCATTTTCTGAAATGCGACATAATGGACGCGAATTTATGATTGCAGAAATTTGACATATTAGGGTTCGAAATTCCTCAAAATTTAATGTGGAGGAGCCAACGACACGTTTTAGGTGAAACTTCGTTAGTTTAATCGAGGCCTCCCAAAGGCCCCCAAAGTGCGGAGAGCGCGCAGGAATAAATTTCCAATCAATACCGTTGTTTAAGCAGTGATCGTGTATTTCCTTCATGCGAGAGGCGTTTAGAAAAAGCGCCTTTGGTTCCTTTAACTCGTTTTTTGCACCGAGAAAATTGGTCGCGTTGTCGGACCATATAGTTTGAGGGCTTCCACGTGTTTAAACGAATCTTTTCAAGGCAGCTAGAAACGATTGTGTGGACAAATCTTTGACCAACTCGAGATGGATGGCCTTGGTTGTAAAGCATATAAACAGGCTAACGTAGCATTTTATTGGAGGGCGGTTTCGCACTTCAGATTGATAATGGAACGGCCCGCAGAAGTCCACTCCCGTAGTTAAAAATGTCCTACCCGGGTGCACTCTTTCTGATGGTAAACTTCCCATAATGTGCATCATCAATTTAGGCTTGGTACGAAAACAGCGGATACATTTATCAACCACACGCGAAACGGGTTTTCTGCCCCCAATGGGCCAATATTGCAACCGTATAGATGCCATGATTGGGGCCCTGCGTGGAGCATTTGCTGATGAAAATGGTTGATTATTGAATCCGTTACCGGATGTCGCTTAGGTAAAATGATGGGGTGCTTCGCCTCAAACCTCCATGTGGAATGCTGCAGCCTGCCGCCAACTCGAATCAACCCATGCTGATCGATAAATGGATTTAGTGATCGAATGTCCGATGAACCTTCCACTTCCTTTCCGGCATCCAAAAGCCGATACTCCTTGTGTAGGCTTGCTCTCTGCATCATGCGAAGAATTAGAAAGGTTCCCTGCTGGATTTCCTTTGTGTTTAGTGGTCCAGAATATTTGGTACCGACAGGCCTCGAAAATCGATAGACGTACGCATAAACTCGTTGTAGCCTCTTAAACGTGTTAATAAACTTGCAGCTAAGTGTGAGATCTACGCTTACCACCAAGACCAGCGCACGTTTTCGTCGCTCCGGCAAGTCTCGCAGCATAGTGGGACAAGCTGGCCATTTGTGATGGGCTTCACGAAGAAAGTCCGGCCCGTGCTTCCAAAGAGGCAAATTCAGCAGCTCTCTAGGACTTGTTCCCCTTGACAGAATATCCGCGGGATTAACCTCTGAGGGAACGTGGCGCCAGCTCATGCCCTTAGTCAGAGTTTGGATGTTGCTGATTCGATTTGACACAAAAGTATTAAAGTTGGATGGTTCGTCACGTAACCATGACAGAACTATGGTCGAATCGGATCAACAACGAAATTCACCTTTAAAAATATTTTGTTTCGAGATGTAGGATACTACCTCGGCTAACAGAAAGGCTGCTGAAAGCTCGAGTTTTGGTACAGTCAGCGTCTTTAGTGCTGCAACGCGGGACCTGGAGCAAAGAAGATTTGTGTGGACGGTTCCATCTTTCTTAGCACGCACGTATACGCACACGCCATATGCTAACAAACTTGCATCGCAGAATGCATGCACCTCTAAGCTAGCGCCAGGGATCAAAACATATCTATCAAAACTGAAACGATCAACCAGGGTGTACTCTTCACATATTTCCTTCCAAGTATAGTGTAATGATTGTGGAAGGCTTTCGTCCCAATGTAATTTCTCCTTCCAAAGCTGTTGCATGAAGATTTTAGCCTTCGTTATGATGGGTCCGATTAAACCGAGGGGATCATACAGTCGGGCAATGGTGGCTAAAATTGCGCGCTTGGTCAATTTCGATTGTGGCACGAGTGGCGAAAAGGAAAATATGAAGATGTCGGAGTCAGGCTCCCAGACTAAACCAAGCGTTTTTGTGACGTTAGTACCATCATGAAACTGTAATAGATTCTCCCTGTCCTCGGCTGCAACGTCAGCAAGCACACAACGTTCGTTCGAACACCACTTTCGCAATTTAAAATTCCCCTTGGCTAGTAACTCCCTTGTTTGGTGGAGAATTTCACGAGCCTCGCCTATTGAATTGGCGCCAGAAATCATGTCATCCACATAAAAATCTCGGCAGATGACCTTTGCACCGATTGGATACGCATGCTGTTCATCAACGGCCAACTGCCTCATTGCACGGATGGCGAGAAACGATGCAGGCTTTGTACCATAAGTGGTGGTATCTAGCTTGTAAACCCTGATGTCTTCACTTGGATTATCCCGCCACAATATACACTGGAGAAAGCTGTATTCATATGCCATCCTAACACAGCGGTACATTTTGCATATGTTGCTAGTAATAGCAAATTTAAATGAACGAAATTGTAAAAGAGTGTCAAAAAGTGTACGCTGTATAGTAGGCCCTGCCATTAGTAGGTCGTTGAGCGAATAACCACTCGTCGTTGATGCAGAACCATCAAACACTACCCGTAGCTTTGTCGTTGTACTATGAGCCTTTAAAACGCAATGGTGCGGCAAAAAATTTACAGAAACTCGACTAGGTAGTTTACCAACAAGCGACATATGCTGAAGGTCATGATACTCTTTCATGACCGACGAGTATTGCTGTTTTATTTCCGGTTTATGTTGAAGCTTTCGTTCTAAGTTTTTAAAACGGTGAAGTGCCTGTTGATAGGAGTCGCCTAACTGCTTAGCTGATGTCTTGAAGGGTAATCGCACAGAGTATTCACCCGATTCCAGGCGCTGGTAATTTTTAAGAAAGTGATTTTCGCATTTGATTTCCTCCGCAGTAAAGCGTGGCATGGAACCGCTGCAGCCTTCCACTTCCCAAAAGGCCTTTACTAGATTGTCTAACCGAGTGTCGAAATCAATTTCCGTTTCTACATTGATTGCGGATAGGCATGAGGGCCTTAGCACCCTTCCCGTACCTTCGCCCGAAACAATCCAGCCCAGCTTTGTTTTTTGCAACAGCGCTAGCTGCTCGCTTAGCCGAATTTGACCCACACACAGTAACTCAAAAAACAAACTTGCTCCAATGAGAACGTCTACACGTTGCGACTCAAAAAATAGAGGATCTGCTAAGCATACGTTGGATGGGATTTTCCACTCAATGTTATTCAAGGAACGAAGTGGCTGAGCGTCAGTGATAGAAGGGGTGACTACTGCCGACAACTGTGCTTGATATTCACCGATGCGCGAATGCATCTCTAGATCAACCATATGATCGGCGACGAAATCAATTTGGCCTATGCCTGAAATTGATGTTGTTGATTTGACTTTCTTCAATTGAAGCTGATTAGCTAAGCGATTGGTGACGAAATTCAGTTGCGAGGCAGAGTCAAGCAACGCTCGACACGGAACGAGTGATCCAGCGCGATTTTTGATAAGTATGATCGCAGTGGCTAAAAGGACGAAATTATGGCCAGGTTCTGCAGTCCCAGGCTTGGAACTAATTAGCGATGTGGGCCCTGGGTGAGGTTGATGCGATAAGAGTGAGCTGCTTTCAATACCAGCAGTCGAAAACGAAGATGATGTAGCCGTATTTGCTGGCAGTGTAACAAGATGCGATGACGTATTTGTGACTTGATCTGAGTGTGAGAATTCTTGATGCAAGAGAGTGTGGTGTTTTGCTGAACAATATCTGAAACAGCTAGATTTGCAGTGCTTTAGCGAATGACCTTTTCGTAAGCAATTTAGGCACAGTTGAAGTCGTTTTGCCTCTTTATACCGCATAAGGGGGGTAAAACCAAGAAACTTCTCACACTGGAAAACCGTGTGCTGATGGCAGTTGCAAATTAGGCAATTTGTTGTGGCAGATGAAACGAACACCTTGCGGTTACTGCCCAAAGATGAATTTTTGCTCACCTGTTTGTTTGGAAGTTTAGTTACCAGAGCGTCCTCCACGCTCTCCAGCCGCTGACAGCGTCGTTCTAGAAAGGTTGACATAGCGCTCCAGGTTGGTATTTCGTTGTTAGGAGTTTCCTCCTCCCATTTCGTTCTAGACGCAGTATCCAACTTCTGGCACACCAAGTGGATTAACACCCCATCCGCAATTTGCTCCTTAGTTCCCAAAGTTGCCAATGCTCGTAGATGTGCGTTTAGCTTGTCACTCAGCCCACGCAAGCTTGCCACTGAACCGGCAACGATGTTGTCCAGCTGAAAAATGGTTCTCACATGAGTCTGAAAATTTAGACGTTTATTATCAAAACGATTTTTTAGCAACTCAAGCGCCTTATCGTAATTTTGGTCACAAATTTCTAGGGACCCTATAGTGTCTAAAGCAGTCTCACGCAGGCTGGAGCGAAGGTGCTGAAACTTCTCAATTCTGGTTAAGTCAGCATCCTGGTGGACCACTGTCTTGAACATAGAAAAGAAGTCGGGCCAATCTGCATAACTGCCGCTGAATTTGGGGATTTGCAGCGTAGGTAAGCGTTGCTTGGGAGGAGCAAAAACAAATGATGGCGGCCCATCAGCAGTTGGCCGCGTGGTTGAATGATGTGCCTCTACGTTACGAAAAGTATGCAACTGTCTGGTCAACTTAATCTTTGCCTCCATGTAATGTGTCGTAAATCTTGCGAGTATCTCTTCGACGTCGTCGTCGTCCTCCACATGAGGTTGTGCAATGTCGAATCTCCCTTCCAAGCGATTCACCTGGTCCAGCCTGACCTCCACAGCAGCTTCGTCAAGACTCAGTACGTATTCAGGTGTCAGCAAAGTATTGATGGACAGCATTTTTTGAGCTAGAGATTCACACTTCTTGCGCTTAAGCTCTCCGTCATCAGGCTTCTTAGATGGTGTCATTCTACAGCTCAGAAGTAGTTACGGATGATTACCAAAATGCCAACCTCGTTGGTGACTTGCCGGGCTTAATTTGGCAGTGAATTTTACTTTCTTTCCCGACAAGATCACGTCGGGGTCACCAATGTTAAATCGTTAAGCGTTTTTAACGACCTTAAATAACGTGGTATGC